GCCTCCCCAGGCGCCGACGAAACCCATCCCGCGCGGTCGCCAGCGCGTCGGTCTCGCGCGCGTGCGTGGTGTGGGGGATGGAGGCCTGGAGGTCGCCCTGAAGGCGGGCGATCCGCCCATCCCGTTCGCCAAGCGCCGCCTCGCAGGACTCCAACCGGGCCTGGAAGTCGGCCGACGTCGTTTGGTGCTGGGCCTGGGCCTCGGACAGCGCCGCGCAGGCCCCGCGCCAGTCCGCCGTCCGGTCCTGCAGGTCACTCGTGAGGGTCTCGTTGGTGAGGAGGAGGTCACTGAGGGCGACCTCGCCCTCACGGAGGCGCTCGCGCAAACGCCCCTGCGCGGTTTGGCCGTCATCGAGTTCGGACCTGAGCTGGCGGAGCTGGGACGCGCAGAGCTCGCGATGTTTTCTGTGGGTCGCTTTCAGGTCTTCGACGGACTTGATAAGCTTCTGGATCTGAAGGTCCTTGTGATTGATCACGCGAAGGTACTCCGCCAGAAGCTGGCCCTCATGGTCAACTGTCATGAGTCGCTCCCTAATGGCGGTTCAAAAAGAAGCCAGTTGAGTTCAAATAGTTGGATAGAAATTTGGGGAAACCTATAAATGATACAGAAAGTGGTCTATCTATGTCAAAAAGTTTGGCTAATTATTGGGGTTGTGCAAAACACTGCCGCTGAGGACGAGAGTGGGGATCGATTTACAAAAAAAAGAGAGTAGAAATGTCCCCCCTCTTAGTATTATTTTCTGAGGTCGGTATTACTTTTTTGCCTTCCTTTCTAACGTATTAACAGATACAAAATGACAATACTTTACACAATACAAGAAGGATAAAGGATTCATTTATGTAAGCTACTGCTTCATCTACAATTAAAACGTGAATAACGCGTACACACAAAGGATGATAGAAAATAAACTGCTAAACATCAGAACCATTCGATAGCTCAACGGTATTTAGCATATGGACAACACGATGTGGCAGATCCTCCTTCAGACCCTCACGTGACTTCTCAGAAACTAAAATCAAAAACCCTTTCTTACCTGCGGGAGCGATTTCCACACCGCGCAGGGTATTGTCCTCGAAAAGCTCCTTCAGTGGGTTGAACACTCGCTCAAACAAATTAATGTCGGCAACCCAAACCACACAACTCGACCGCGAAAAAGGAAGTTTTAATATCTTTTGCAGCTCCTCAACATTATTAATGGTCTTCGTCAAATGAATGACAATACTACAGGAGCGCACAAAGCCGAGCTCGTTAAACACCAAAGACGCAGAATCAGACCTCACATGCAGTCCTGTGAGCGGGGCGTACGCGCTCATGAAGGTCCTCGCCAACGCGCCCTGGGCCTTATTCCCCTGGCCTGTGAGGGGGGAATAGGCCCCGCCCAAACACGGACACGCCGTGGTCATCTTCCCACGCCGGACCTCCACCGAAGGTGGGCCTTTGACGGTCCAAAGGTAACACCCCGCGAGGACGGCTAAAAGAAAAAGCACGACCAATACAAAAGGAAAGGGCCTACGCGGTGCGGCCGCGGACTTGGAGTCTTTCCCCAGTGAAGTCAATTTCACCCGCCTTGTCACAGGGACGGGAATAGGGTTGGGAGTGGGAGTGGGAGTAGGAGTGGGAATGGGAATTGGAATGGAGGTGGGGGATTGGGGGGGAGTTGGGGATGTCTCGGGCTCTACGGATGCGCTTCGGCGAGATGGTGTCTTGCTCTTGGTCACGGTAGGGGGGGCCTTCTTTTTCCGTCCAGATCTAGGCTTCTTGGGCGGCATCTTTTGTGGATCAGAAGTAATAAATATGTTTTTTTAATTTAAAAAATCTAGGTGCTTCGCTTTGCTAGTATCTGTTTCACTTTCCTTAAATAGAAAAGCAAAGGAGATTCTTGAATATGGAAAAAATTAATAAAGAAAAGGAATAAATTCACACTCAATAAGGCTCAGTACATACAATATTATAACTGCTACTTTCACATGCACACACCCACTCACTCCCTAGTACGAATGTGAACGAAAAATTCCTCCACCATACAGTTCGAAATGTCCTGATCCAATGTTATATCGTTGTCTGCAATTGTGAGAAAAAAAAATGATAATTTTGAAAAGTTTAAATTTCTAAAAAAACGAATGCATCAGAAAATTTAAAGATATTCCAACACTGAACCTTTTCCTGAATCCCAATGTCAATCGCGACATTCTGTAACATAAGGGAAAGTTAAAAATACCTTTGAAATCGATTGGGTTCGCTACGTAAGCAATCCTTCCTCTGAGTCTCCCTTCCTTTCACTATGTAGCCCTAGATAAGCGTCAAATTCCTGCTTCATTCCGTGTTTTTCCCCTAGTTTTATGACAAGTTGACGCACATGGGGTGTTGGAAGCCACTGCTCACTATGCATGCGCCGCACTAACTCAAGTGCGTACTGTACATCAGTTGCTTCGCTTGCCGCTTCAAGCAAGTGAGTGTACGTGTTCGGAAGAAATGGAACTCCCTGCGCCTCTTGCACACGCCCAGCTTCTATGGCCTCCATAGGCCTTTTATTTTCAACTCTGGAGATAATCAGAGCCAGGTAACACACACTATCGAGCATCATTTTCCCTGAATATTTCCTAAACACCTCCTCTACCTCTTGAGGTCGCTTGCCCTCCACACAAGTGGTGAGGATGTTGCTAACGCAATTCACATCCAGGCGGATGCCCTCCTGATCCATCTGCGAAAGAAATTGAAGCGCTTGCGCCCACGCACCAGGCCGCACGCACTGCCGCAGTGCATTCCGATAATGGCTGACATTCAACGCGAGACCCTCATGTCGGGCGGTGCAAAACAGCTCCGCGGCCCGAAACCAGTTATTCCCGTCCGGGTTCAACAGCTCCTGTTGAAGCGCGTAGATGTGTCCAAACTGATGCATCCATCCCCCACCATAACGTGGTAACAGCCCTAGGCCTGAGGTACGGGGATGCATGGGGGGTTA